ACCACTGGGGGTGTGGCTGCGGTGCCATTAACTTCAACACACCGCCACTGAACGCAGGAAGCTAGCCGGAATGTGATACAGGGCATTACAGAGGCTGACCGCTCTGGAATGCACTGTTTGTGGTGTGAACCGGCACTAAGATTAACCTTATTCTTTCCTTTGTGCTCATCCTTTTAACCCTCTGTGCACATCCTTAGTCCACCAAGGCAATTCATTGAGTGAAGAAATGACTGGTAGAGGAAATCGAGGCGGTGGGGAATGTGAGGACAAATTCCCTTATACATGAATAAAGAATATATTTTTTTTTTTCAATATACAAATGCAATCACAAATTCAATATTGATTTCCAGCAAAGTACAGCAAAATATAGTACAAATCAATGGACTAGGCAGATTACATCATCTCCCACTCTCCTTCACCCTGAGATTCATCCAGGTTAACAATCGGTACACATCTCTGTTGGAGACAGCCTTCTTAACTTCTCTCACAAAACTCACATTGACCAAGCGAACTTAGGTCACCAAACGATCTTCCTGTCAGGAACAGCCATCCACGTCTGGCACAGCGCTGACAACCCTGGTCACACACCGGCAGATCAGTGACACAGCTGGGACACTGACAGCAGCGGCTCTCTCTTCACTTTTCTCTATTGTCCCGAACAGACCCACTCTCCCCCACCACTGAGACCCACAGTATTCCTCAGATAAACGATACCTTCTGGACCCTACCACAACAGGAGTGGACACAGGAACCGTCACAGATGGCTTTTTGAGGTGCAGCACCACAGCATTTCTCTTATAACACATCCTACATCCTACACCCAACTGGTAAAGTGAATGCGCTCCTGTTTGTATCTTTTGAAGATCACATCATCTATGGAGCATTGAGTTAGCATTTAGTACTGGTAGTGGAGTTTTTTGTTTTACATTTTTTTATTACATGTGGCCGGGCCATCTTACCAGCCTCAGTGCTGACTCTGTCTCCTGCAGCCACTCCCTGTCATGCAGTCCAGTCATCTCACTCGTTCTCTCCGCCCGCTGATTGGCTGACTGGCGCATCACTTCCGGGAATTACCTCACCACCCTGAAGGGAAGCGGACGGTTGTTCGTCCCTGGAGTCGGCGGTTTTGGCGGTTCTTCGTGGATGGATGAGACGCAAGTATCGGTTTAGGCATCGGAGGATTTGCACGAGTACAAGTACTTGTGCAAATACTCTGAATCGGCATTCAGATGCCGAGGCATCTGAGGCTCCCTTTACCATGGCAGAATTGCTATATGTACTCCGGTCCACCCCTACAGTGAAGAGCCTGGGACCCCATGGATTCACGATGAAATTCTACAATTTGTTCCGGGATAGGCTTACCCCCTTCCTTCTGCGGCTGTTCAACTCTATCGCGCTCGGGTCCTCCTTCCCAACTCAGGCATTAGAGGCCCATATCTCGTTAATCCCTAAACCTGGTAAGGACCATACCCTTTGCACGAACTACAGACAGATAGCGCTCCTCAATGTTGATGTGAAGTTGTTCGCTAAATAAAAATCGCCAACCGGCTGAAGCCACTTCTTCCGGAGGTGATTCACACAGACAAAGTGGGGTTCGTTCAGGGAACGGAAGCCTGGATTGGGGTTTCCTCCACCACTCTGATACAGCTGGGGATTCAACCCACCATGCTATGGAACATAATGGCGTTATACTCCTGCCCATCGGCTAGGGTTCACGTGAACGGGTCGCTCTCCCCTAGCTTCAGAATCTCTAATGGTACTAGGCAAGGTTGCCCGGTATCCCCTCTTCTCTACACCTTCACCATGGAACACCTGGCAGCTGCTCTCAGGCAGAATTCAGCTTTCCAAGGCTTGCAGGTGGGACCGCATCGATCCAAACTTGCGTTTTGTTGCTTTATGTGACTCACCCCCACATCGCCATGCCCACGATTCTGCGTGAATTCAAACACTTCAGTTCTCCAAGTAACTTTCGGGTCAACCTCACTAAGTCAGAAATCCTTAATGTATCCCTGGGAGAGACGGATCTGCGCCTCCTGACATTTCTCACGACAGACCTAGCAGATCTTTTCTCTGCCAACTTCCGCCCTCTGCTTGAGAGTGACCCAAGACCTCGCCACTTATGACCGCAGGCGCATTTCTTGGCTGGGTCGGATCAATACGCTCAAAATAGACATAGTACCAAGATTCCTTTATCTATTCCAGACCTTACCCATCACCCTACCACCTTCCTACCTGAAACAGGTCCAGTGAGTCTTCAAGAAATTTGTGTGGGGCACTGCGCGTCCGACTTAGTTATCGGTCGCTAGCTCTTCCGAAAC